GATTTCCAAGTCCATCTCCTACATTGAGGTTTCTTGAACATTGTATTCAATATTTTTAGTTGGTGTTGTTGGCAGAAGTCAATGAATAGTTCTCCTCTCTCGTTTCTGTCTCCGTAGCCGTATTTTCCCAATGCCAGGCTGTCTTCTTCTGTGATTTGACCAACTTTTGCGTTCATATCCCCCATTAGTATTATGTTATTTGTGCTTTTTTCAGCAGCTTTCTGGAGACAATCGTAAAATGATTCTATATCGTGCATTTCAGCTCTTTCAGTGGGAGCGTAGGCTTCTATGATTGTGAATAGTTGTTCATTTAGTTTAACATGAATCAGGGCAACTCTTTCCGATATAGGAATGAAGTCTTGCACTTGGATATCGTTTGACTTTTTGACCAGGAAGCCTACTCCTCGTTCTCCTTTTGTTTCCCCATAGTTATATAACACATAATTTCCTTTGTCTTCTATGCTCCATCCTTGTCTTCTTACTTCAGAGATCCCAATGATGGACCATTTTATTTCTGACAAAGCGTGCTCAAGCTGTACTAGTCTCTCATTGCTAAGAAGGGATCTGACATTAAGTGTAGCTATGTAGTACTTATTGTTTTTTGAATTGTTTTTGCTTGGAGGGTTATGGTCTACTGCCCCCGCGGTGACCAGCCGTGGTGGGGGAGATGTGGGAGTTGGAGGGGGCTGTGTTTTTTGCTATAGTTTCTCTACTTCAGTTCTGGGAGTATTTTTTGGAATCTGAAACGTGTCATTCTTGTTACTGCTTTCGGAGTGTCTTGATACGAAGGGTAATATTGTCTGGGACATTTGTGTGTTATTCGTAGTAGGATTGTCATTGGGTTTCCTGCCTTGTGTGTTTTCTGCATGTTTTTTCATGAGAAATTTCTTTGTTTTTTTCGGCTGTTGGTTGGCCTTAGTTTCATCAGAGTAGGTGTCAGGTGATAGAGATAAATTCCTTTTGGTGCTTTTTCTGTTGTCATCTATAATTATGATTTTATCGTATTTCAGTATTGCTTTGTTTCCTTTATCTCTTTCTTCTTTTAGTTTAGTTTGGAGTTCTTTGCGTTTGGCTATAACCTCCTTTGGATAATCTTCCTTGATGTAGAAAGGCGTGTTTTCAAATGATCTTTTCTTCTTCAATGCGTGGATTTTTTTCCCAAGTGTTGTGAATTTAATTAGTATTGGTCTGTTTTTGCTCCCAGATTTCCTTCCCAATCTTGTAACTGAGTCAATGTCGATTTCATGTAGGTTAAGACCCGTTGCACTATTTAAAGTTTCCAGAACTAGGTTTTCCAACTGATGGTAACCACGTTCAGTTTCGTTAAGATTAAACAGTATTATATTTTTCTTTCTTTCCGTTTTCTTTAGGTTGTGGAATAATGCCTCATACTGTTGTACTTTTTTCTCAAGTTGTGTGTAGCGGTTCTCAAAGGTTTGAAATTTTTCATTTATGTTTGTTGTAATACTCTCCCGGGTTAGCTGAAGTTCCTTTTTCTGTTGTTCTCGAGTTAAATGAAATTCTTGTTTTTGCAGTTCAATTGCTTCTTGGATGTTTTTTAAAGTTTTAACTATGTCTTCCATTCTTATGTGTATTAAGAATTTTATAATACAGTACAACAGCAGTGGTGGCAAAATGTCAAAAAACCTGTGTGGTCGTGGTACTGGGCACCTATTTAAAACAATAATTTACAATTAATATTTAATAGCAAAGTTTCTTTGTAGGTATGCATTAACAGAAAGGCAGTACCGTTTATGCAGTAAGTAGTAAGTATATCACACTATAGTATTTATTTTACTAGTTTACCTTTTAATTACATGCAACGGTGTGGATACAATAATAATATTTATAAATAGAGCGAACAGAATGAATCTATCAGTTACTTCACCTTTCAAATTCTGCAGAGTTAAACCCAAGTTTTAACTAGCGAAACTGTACTTGAACAATTTAAAAAAAAAAGAAAAAAAAACTTAGTTATTTGTTATTACATTAGTAGTTATTTATTTTCAGTAAGTCTAATACATTTTTTAGGTAACTTCACACTATATTGTGTTGTTCTATTTGTAGAATCTCTATGTGTTTAGTCAATTTGTACCTATATGAACTAGTAAAAAAAACCATAATATAATACAACATTCAAAATTATAATCTCAAAATTTCATAATAAATAAATCATTAGCTGCAGCAATTATCAATCATATAAATAATAATATATAAATCAATTGTTTACACCCTTAAGTTAACTAACTCATACAGTATTTTAATTGAGGAATTTATAATGTTAATACAATATTCAAAATTATAATCTCAGAATTTACATAGTAATTCAATGATTAGCTATAGCAATTATATTGTCAGACTATCTAATCAATTGTTCACACCCTTAAGTTAACTAACTCACACAGGATTTTAATTGAGGAATTTATAATGTAGGTTTTGTATTACAGTCCCAATTACTAGGTTTTTACTCAAGCTGTTAGTCGTCAATTGTGTTGCACTGTGTTTACACTTTTGTCACTTGTAAAATATTAATGTAATAATGTACTTACAGTTTATCTGCGATCACTATTAGGTAGGTACATTACAGAGTCCCGAAGTTATACGATGTTAAGTGTTTTTCATAAGCAGCTGTAGTTCGGTGTCATTGACCTTGACACATGTCCTTTGGATACGGACGCCGTTTTTGGTTTGTATTTCACCGACGACACACTCAATTATAGTAATCACCCGTCGATATAGTTCCAATACATAATAATATGTCAATGTAACCACTTTATGATTTTGTAGAAGTAAGTGTGGTTGAATCTTGTAAAATGTCCTTGTGCATTTTTCTGTCAAAGTTCAAAGTTCAAACGGCTATAGCCCAAGATATTTTGTATTATTTCCCGATCAATTTCACTGTTTTACTTCATACTAGAAGGTCATTTGTGATGATATGCAGGTTGAAAATCAGCATTAACCTTTTACTTTTAATAGTTGTTTAAAAGATTTGACCGTTTGTCTTCAAGTTTGTCACCGTCTCGAAACGTTGTTTTTACTTATTTAAACGAGTCAATTTGTTGCAATTAAACTTTTCACATATTGGTCGCTCACTAATACAACTTATTTGAACACTTTTAGGCACTACTGGTTGATATTTATAATTTTTCCCAAATTGAAAAAAAACTACGTACTTAGTTTTTTTTTTAATGATTTTTTCAAATTCGCAATTCTATATTACCAATTCTGGCCCACCCTATATTAGAAAAGAATAATTTTTATTTAATATAGATTACAAGAATACCCATTGAAAGTCAATTATGTGGTTTGGAAAAACCTCTGTCCTGGCAAGAATCAGCAAGAAACCCAGCAGGACTTTTTTTTTTCCAAAGTAAATTATACAATAAGAGAAAGGTTGTGCAAACTACTTACAAAATTTATTTTAGAAACAGCTTGGAAGCGATCACTTCATTCCCAGTAAATATCTTGTTTTCCTTAAAAATGGTCAATTTTATAATGATTTCTTATATTTACGCGAACACTACACATTTAAATAAAACAAATTTTACGGATTTTATCTTATTATTTTATTTATTATGGCTGGGTGCTACCATCTGCTTGGGATCCCATAATTAATAAAATTAAATCCCTCCCGTGACCATGGGTGCTGTAAAGTACTCGAAACGTCTGGAATATAAAATAAGTTAATATACGCGATAAAATCCGTAAAATTAGTATTATTTAAATGGTCATTTTTTATTTTCTTTTTACTTTACCCTTTCATTGGCTTAATTGTTATTATTGTGTAATTTTTGTATATTGTGACACTGGAAGAGTACTGACGTTTACAGCTCAGGTTTTCCTATTGTAAGCATCAGCTGAAATACTGCTGTGTAGAAATAAAATAAGTAAATATTTTGTGTTTATTGTTTAAGGATTTTGTAAGATGTGCAAAGAAAGAGGAAAAAATTCACTAAACGTACATATTAAATACCCTTTACAGTAGTAGAATTAAATCCTGAGGAATATAACACGAACACATTTTAAATTATCAACAATTCTTACATATCTAACTTTCATGGATGATAATAACCCCTGGGAATGAGGTAATCGCTACCAAGCTATTTCTAATGTTTTGTGTGTTTAATTGTGATTGTAAGCTGTTTTATTTATTTAAAAAAAAGTCCCATTGGGTTTTTTGCTGGTTCTTCCAGGACAGGTTTTTTTTTTCGAACCAGTGGTAATTAAAGAAAAGAGTGACTTTCAATAAGTATTATTTATAATCTATATTCAATAAAAAAAGTTTATGTTTCTGTTTCATTCCTTACAGCCCATAAAAAAACCTCATATTTGCAGTAGTTGCCATGCTTGGAAGGTGGTAATAGCAGACAGCAAGGATGGAAAAACGATTTGCCTAATAGTGGTGGTGTAAGAAAATCCACTACCCTACATCATCCCATGGGTGTCGTAACAAGCGACTGAGGGAAACTAAAGTAGAAGCCTGCCCATAGCAGCAGTATCATTTTAACAGCTCAAAAAAAACTGCAGTCGCTATCCCACCTTCCAAGCGAGGCAACTACTGCAAATATGAATGTTTTCATAGACTGTAATGAGTTAAATTTCGATATATCTTTATGCTTCGTTCTTGAGAATTAGATTCTACTACTGATAATTAAATATTAAAAATTTTATACAACCGACTTCAACATAAATTATTAAGAATAACGCAAAAACTATTGGTCAGACCTTGTACAAATTTATATGGGTCCATATGGGAAAACAAAATCATCGCACATAAAAAAACATACAGTCGAATAGAGTACCTCCTCTTTTTTGAAGTCTGTAGAGAAGGGTACATATTATGTATGTTCTTTAGTGAATTTCTCCCTCTCGCAAATTTCGAGAATAAGCGATTATATTAACTTAGCCAATTTCAAGAGGGTAATTTAATTTTATCTTCAGATTGAAAAATCGGATTCATTCCATCAAACTTGAAATAGTAAGTTATAATAAATACTCACCTTCGTTGTAATTCCCTCTTTGCCTCCAAAATAGCCTCTTTCTTCCGCCTGGCATCTTCTTTCTCTTTCTTTTGTCTCTCCTCTGCAGCTTCCTTGGCCTTGTTAATGCCGCTCAGCTTCGAAGTCGACGAAGATAAGTGCGATTTCATTGTGGGAATACTCGATATTGGTTTCGAAGCTGAGCGTGATGTCTAGGAAATAGATAAAATATTGCTTGATTAGACAGACATGAGAAGTAGGTTTACCGCGTAGTGGCGGTGTAAGAATATCCACTACCCCATATCAACCCGTGAGTGTCGTGAGAGGTGACAGAGGGGAACAAAACAGGAAATGGGCATCAGCGACTTTCTGATAACAACTCAAAATAATAAAAACTGTGCTTGCCAACTCGCCCGTCAAGCGTGACAACTATGGCAAATATCCCTTCTATGAGGCAATTTATGGGAAGGCCTATGTTCAGTAGTGGGCTTTAATAGGCTGTAACAGTAGAAGTAGGTGGCATCACCATCGCTAGTTGGGAGTAGTGAAATTATTCGTGTCAACATTAGTGAAAAGTTGCGTTATAAATAAAAGTTTTTTGGTTTGTAGGGTATGTATATAGTATATACACAAAATAATGCATCAGTGTAAATTTTCTGCACATTATTTTACCTCTCTTTTTAATTATTTTTTGTAAATGGCTTGGTATATTTAAATAAGAAAAAATGGGGTACTTATGGGGTCGTCTGGACAGTTCTTAGATACTGTTAGACACGGTATGTGATACAGAAATCAATCACCCGTGTGGAACGGGCGGATCACTAGATCTATATTAATTAAACAAAGGGTGCTGTTAGACTGACTTTAATTTCACCATTACTACCACACCTTTGTTTGGAAGGACTGTTGAGGTCAGGTGAGGTTTATAGAGGTAGAGTCACGCTGCAGCTATACTATGGTTGTAGCACAAATGGGTCAGCTCCAGGACCATGCCGAAACAAGGCATTCCATCTTAGTCCGCAAGGGTGACAAAGCATCTGCATTTTGATTCTTAATCGAGGATAAATGAAAATGTCTATGGGCCACAGCATTCACCTGCCATCAGGTGAACTGTGTGGGGCTTTTTTTATCAAGATTTGCTAAAGTTTTACTTGAATTGAAAATAACGAAATTATTAATGTAAAACAAAAGCAATACCTGAGATGCTTTTCCATTGAAGATCAAATTGTTCATTTTGTTCAATTGTTCTGCAGACAAAACAGTTTTCGATATTTTGTCAGGAGGCGTATGATTCTCTACTGGTTCATCCTGTAAATTCATTATTTGACTAAGGTAATGTTTACAAACTAAAGTAATATTTAAATGAGGGAGAGCCACGCTGCAGCTATATTATGGTTGTAACACGAATGGGTCGGCTCGACCGGGGTAGGATCATGCTCTCACAGAATACCAGGGTAAAGTAGCAGCTTAACGCTGCTGTGTTTCGTATGGTGAGTGTAAGCAATCGGAGACCCTTTTTACTGGAAACAGGCCATTCTAACTTAGTCCTCAGGGGTGACGCAACGCATCTGCATTTTGATTCTTAATCGAGAATAGAAGTAGATGTCTATGGGCCACAGCATTCACTTACTATCAGGTGGTGTGTAAACGTTTGTCAAACTTAAGGTATAAAAAAGACCTAAGCTCAATAGTACAAGACGACCTTAACTAATAAGCTACTGTTGTTTCTATACATGGATATGTACAATCGAACTCAAGTACTCTGCATACAATTACTACTTAACTAACTTCTGCCACCAAATACTAACATTTAACACTGCTAGAGCCACGCGGAAACCCCCAGGAGTGTACCAGCACCCCTAGTGACGGAGAATCCCTCGCTGAGCATCCACACCCAAGCAACCCTACTTTTTCCGAGCGTGAGTGCTTAGGCTGCCCCGCGTATTCTGGGGGGAAGAGGAGGCAAATATCCGCTCAAGACGATCTGCTTAAACCTGATCGGGGCAAGCGGAGTAATAAGACAAAGGCAACCCCTGCCACGCTTTCTATGAATTTCTACAATATTAGAGGACATCATTCAAACCTGAACGCCATTTACTACCATCTGGAGACGGCAAAGCCGGCCTTGATCTTTCTGACGGGACAAAGGTATCCTCTCCGGCTGATACTTTATATGTCTCTCACCCGGGGTACAAATTGGAACACTCCTTTGTGCCCCGGGCTGGAGTTTGCGTGTACGTCAGAGAAGCTCTGCCCATCCTATGGCTGTGCGTACACAGCGACGACCATCCCCGCATCTACAGGTGCCTCTATAGGTCCCATAGCGGTAATGCCGACACAGACCGACTCATCGACCACGTCCAAATGGCTGCAGACTCCGTGCTACAACAGGTCCCATCCGTAGCGATCGTGATGCTCAGTGATTTTAACGCCCACCACTCTGAATGGCTTGGCTCCTGTTTAACCGATCATGCCGGTAGTTCTGTTTATGACTTTGCCTTGGCATATGGTCTGACACAACTGGTAACTTCGCCTACGCGGATCCCAGCTTTGGAGGATCATGTACCTTCTGCTGACCTCTCATCCGGACGGATATCAGATCTGCGTAGATTCCCCTTTTAGCCCTTAGTACCATTGCCTGATCCGGAGTATGGTGCCTCCCATCCATCCCATTGCAGTTGCGATCTGCAGCTTGCCGCCGTGTTTGGCACTATAGGTCGGCCGATTGGGACGGGATGCGGTCTTTTTTTGCATCCTACCCTTGGGGGCGGGTTTGATTTTCGTCGGATGATCCCAACGTTGTTGCTGATTCCATTGCTGATGTGGTACTTCAGGGACTGGAATTATTTATTCCATCATCTGTGGTGTCTATCGGAAGCAGAACTCAACCATGGTTTGGTCACTCCTGTTAAATTGTATCACGCTATAAGCAGGAGTGCTACCGGGCCTAGGCTGACGCATTAACGTCCAGGGATGTAAACACCAGCGCTCTTAAAAAGAAGTATAATTCCGCCTCCAGGTCCTTCAAGTGTCATTGCAAAGGCAAAGTAAGAGAACATCGTCGGAATTGGAAACTAGTTCGCCTCACCTTCGGGAACACGTGCATTCTGGTCTCTCGCCAAGGCTGTCCAAGGGTACTTCTGCCAGCCATCTCTGCCATCTCTGCACAGGGTGGACAACTCACCGGACCATGATGCAAAAGAGAAAGCTGATCTGCAAGGCTCTCTTTTTGCTTCCAACTCGACTCTCGATGACGGGGGTAACACACCGCCAACCACCCCGCGGTGTGATTGCTCCATGCAGGGAGTGCTGTTTACACAGCGCTCGGTGCGTAAAGCACTCCACTCCCTGGACGGCAACAAGTCGAGTGGGCCTGATGGAGTCCCACCTATTGTGCTGAAGACGTTTGCTCCGGAGTTGGCACCGGTATTAACGCGTCTTTTCCGGTACTCCTACTTCCTAGGCATAGTCCCGAACTCGTGGAAGACAGCTTTGGTGCACACGATCCCTAAAAAAGGCGACCGCTGTGATCTGTCCAACTACAGGCCTATCGCTATTACCTCCTTGTTCTCCAAAGTAATGGAAACTATTATTAACTGCCAGCTCACGCAGTACCTTGAGGATCACCAGCTGATTAGTGACTGCCAGTACGATTTTCGTTGGGATCAATCAGCTGCTGATCTTCTGGTCTATCTGACCTTTTGCGAGCTAATTGTTATTTTATCTTAATTATTGTATTGTATATGTTATTTTATGTAACTTATTGCTAAGCCACTGCGCCTCGGAGCTGTCGAATTATAAATAATTAATAAGATAAATTGAGATGTTGTCAAAAGACAAACTTTTTACCTTTTTAGCCATTGCCCTTGTCTTTGTTCTCGTTATCCTGGACGCCAACTCTTCAAACTGTTGTACTTTTTCTTTAACGGCCGAACTGTAAACATAACAACAATACATTACTATAATTATGACATATAAGAAAACTTGATTTAACTCTATATTCGACTTTGAAATCAATTCAATTATTTGTGAATGATCCAGACTTAAGAATTGGGTTGATGTATGCTACATGCAAGTGAAAGTAATTATTAGTGACCGACCGAAGGTACGGTTTTGGTTTCGGCAAGTTTCGGCAAAAAAATCCAGTTTCGGTAATGATTTCGGTTTCGGCAAAAAATCTGCCGAACCTTCGGCGACGCCGAAACTCGGTGTTCGTGGATTATAGTGCGTCGTTCGGAAGAGTTCGTGACTCGTGTATTATAGAAAAGTTTTTAAACTTTTTTATTCAATATAGATTATCATCATCATCATCATTACAGCCCTTCACAAGTCCACTGCTGAACATAGGCCTCCCCCAAAGAATGCCACAAAGCACGGTCCTGAGCCACCTGCATCCATCGACTTTCTGCATATCTTACCAGGTCGTCACTCCATCTAGTGGGGGGACGCCCTACACTTCGCCTGCCGGTACGAGGCTGCCACTCGAGAACCTTTCTTCCCCATCGGTTGTCGGTTCTTCGAGCTATAAGGCCGGCCCATTGCCACTTCAGCTTACTAATCCGTTGTGCTATGTCGGTCACTCTGGTTCTACTACGGATATCCTCATTTCTGAGTTTATCACGCAGAGAAACTCCGAGCATAGCCCTCTCCATAGCTCGCTGAGCGACCTTGAGCTTCCTCATCCGGCCAGCAGTGAAGGACCACGTCTCAGTTCCGTATGTCATCACTGGCAACACGCACTGGGTGTACAGTCTCGTTTTCAAGTTTTGAGGTATACCTGACGAGAAGATGTGTCGTAATTTCCCGAACGCTGCCCAACCGAGTTGAATCCGTCGATTGACCTCTCGGTCGAAGTTGGACTTACCTAGTCGCACTATTTGTCCCAGGTAAACTTACTCGTCAACAACTTCGAGCTTAGTGTTCCCAACAACTACCGGCATAGGTGTGACATGGACATTAAACATGATCTTTGTTTTGTCCATGTTCATCTTAAGACCTATCCGTTGGGAAACACTATTGAGGTCATTGAGCATAGTGCTTAGGTCCTCCAGCGATTCTGCCATAAGGACAATATCGTCGGCAAATCGAAAGTGAGTGATGTACTCGCCATTGATGTTGATACCGTATACTTTCCAGTCCAGAAGCTTGAAAACATCTTCCAATGCAGCGGTAAAGAGTTTCGGGGATATGACGTCAGCCTGTCTTACACCTCTCTGCAATTGGATAGGTTTCGTACTCTGGTTCTGTACTCGGATAGCCATCGTAGCCCTACTGTACAAGCACTTCAACACTTCGATATACCGACAGTCAACCTGGCATCGCTGAAGGGACTGCAGCACCGCCCAAATTTCGACGGAATCAAAGGCTTTCTCATAGTCCACATACGCCAGACATAGTGGCAAATTGTACTCCTCGGACTTCTGTACAATTTGCCGAAGGGTATGTATGTGGTCTATGGTGCTAAAGCCTTTTCGGAAACCGGCTTGTTCGGGAGGCTGGAAGTCGTCAAGTCTGCGCGCGAGACGATTCGTAATGACTCTCGAAAACAGCACGTAGACGCGGCTCAGAAGGGAAATCGGTCTGTAGTTCTTCAAGAGAGCGTTGTCGCCTTTCTTGAAGAACAAGACCACCGCGCTTCTGCTCCACGCCTCCGGTGTAATGCCACCATGGAGGACGGAATTAAAGAGCTTCTGAAGGACTTCAAGTACCGGTTTTCCACCCGCTTTCAGAAGCTCCGCTGTAATTCCATCCTCGCCTGGGGCCTTGCCGTTTTTAAGGTGCTGGAGAGCCATTCTAATCTCGCTCAGACTGACGTCCGGGATATCATCGGAATAATGTCAGATAAGACTCGCTCTTGGATCGTTACCCACACTTGCGTGCGGCTCCAACGATGACGTGTATAGCTGCCCATAGAACCTCTCAATCTCACTCAAAATCTCAGGTGCCCCGGAAACGATGCTGCCACATTCGGTCTTCAGCTTAGACAGTTGGCTCTTTCTGGCAGACAGATCTCTGGCAAAGACTTTGGAGCCTTGGTTCCGCTCGATCGCTTCTTCAATACGAGCTGTATTGAATTTGCGCAAGTCCCGCCGCATGCACTTGGAGATCTGTCTGTTCAGTTGCCTGTATGCTGTCAAATCTGTTGAAGAATGTAGCTTCATCTCCCGTCTAACAGCCATGAGATTAAGAGTGTGATCGGAGAGTTGTGTTCTTCTGCGGCGGGTCTTGCAGAACTTAGCTCCGACCGCATGGACAGTTTCCACGAGCTTGTCATTCAAATCGTCCACTTCATTGCAGTCTTCTAGGCACTGAAAACGGTTTTGTAACTCGAGCTGAAAGGTTTCGGGACTTTGGATTAGAGCACGAGGGGGACGGAGCGTTGACTTCATTAGACGAGACCTCTCCAACTTAACGTTTAGGTTCAGTGTGCCTCTAACCATTCGGTGATCGCTGCCGGTTTTCACCCTCGCGATCACTGAGACATCACTGAACAGTTGTCGTCTGGTCGCCATAATGAAGTCAATCTCATTTTTTGGCGAACCGTCGGGGCTCGACCAGGTCCACTTCCTGTGGGGCCGCTTCTGGAAGAAAGAGTTCATCATAAAGAGTTCCTCTTTCTCCATGAAGTCGGCCAGCTGCTGGCCCCTTGGGTTCCGTTGCCCTATTCCAAATTTTCCCACTTTCAGCTCACCGTTCTCTCTTGTGCCTAGTTTTGCATTGAAGTCTCCCATTAACACCGTATATTGGGTTTTGGAGGAATGCATGGCTCTAGAGATATCCTCATACATTTCCTCCACCTCCTGATCGGGGTGTGCCGAGGTTGGTGCGTAAACCTGTATGACCTTCAGCGAATACCGTTTGGTGATTCTGAGTATAAGGTACGCAACCCTCGTCGACACACTCTCAATCTTTACAACGTTGTTAACGAGAGACTTGTGGACGATAAATCCGACACCTCCTTGGGACAGATGGTCGCCCTCCCGGTAATAGAGCAAGTTGCCGGATTCGAGGATTACCGTGTCCTCCCCCTCTCTTCGGACTTCGGATAATTCTATAATATGCCAGCGTAACTTGTCTATCTCTTCTTCCAGCTCCACAATCTTCTCGTCAGTCCTCAGGGTGCGTGCGTTGTATGTTGCCAGGTCGAGTCGTCGTAGGTGGCAACCGAACCTCCACCGGAGATTCTTAGCACCCCCTGCCCCGCCGTTACCATGGTCGCCACCGTAGCCAGGAATAGCGGGGCCGCCGGGGACTGGGGGCCGTCTCTTCGTAACTCTCATCATGGGGGGTATATTGCCATAGTTGCCACGCTTGGCGAGCGGGTTGGCAACCGCAGTTTTTTATTGTATTTTTCCGTTACCAGGAAGATGCTGCTGCCCATCTCCTGCCTGTAAGCCTTTGTCGCCTTTTACGACACCCACGGGAAGATATGGGATAGTGGATATTCTTAACCGCCACTACACTGCAATATAGATTATAAATAATACTTATTGAGTCACTCTTTTGTTTAATTACCACTGGTTCGAAAAAAACCTCTGTCCTTGGGAGAACTAGCAAGAAACCCAGCGGGACTTTTTTTTAAATAACAGCTTACAATCAGAGGCTCAGCGTGGACCAATATAAACGTGAACAAAGTTACATCAGCGAGGCCCCTTTTATTTCGTTCCAAAGATCTACCCAATAGATCTATCCTACCAAACATGCTTTGACACGTCATACCTACTCATATCTATTAATTCCTGACAAGTATCGTATTCCGTCAATGCAACAATCGCGGTCTTTGAAGATGGTTACAACGGCCTCGTAGTCGCACTTAACCTCTTAAGGTTCTCTTCTTGCGAGGCACACAAACACACTTAAATTTGTGACTTTCTTTTTCGAGCGTAAAAGTGATCAAATTAATTAGTCGTCTGTGCTAGTCTGGGGGCATCGCATTTTAGGGGGCCTCACGAGGCCTCTTTAAGTGCGAGGCCGTGGGCGAGGGCCCACTTCGCCCACGCCTAGCTACGCCATTGCTTCCAATCATGTATATAACACAATTAACAACACAACACAAATTAGAAATAGAGATCACCTCATTCCCAGGGGTTATTATCATCCATAAATTCCTTAATATTATAATAACCCTTTTTATACAAACTTAGTTTATTAAAGTTTTTGAACTTTGAGCAGGTTTTGTATATTTTCTGGGATTTTGTTGTGTGTATGTTGCGTGTATGTGTATAGTGAACACAATAAAATATGTTTTCAATTAGCGAGTAACGTTTTATGGATGTAAATGTTGATTTTTTTTACAAAATTGGCTTAGAAAAGTATTTCTTAACGTTAAATTGTTGATTTTTACTTTAAAATTAAAAAATATATTGCTACATGACTATTACAATTACTGTTTTTCATTAACATACGTTACCTATCTCTATATGTATAAAAATATACTAGATTTCAGTATATAATAAAAAAAATTAACATGTCTAAATAAATTTCGATTTCGGTTTGGATTTCGGTTTCGGTTTCGGCCGAAACTGACACCCAGACCGAAGGTTCGTTTTCGATTGAAAATGCAGTTTCGGTCGAACACTAGTAATTATATATAGCAGGGAAAATCTCTTAGCTATGCTGGTATTGCACGACTCATAATAGGTAGTGCTTTACTCTCAATACATCAAGGTCAAGCAATTTTGTAACAGCACTTTTTGGGATATTATCAAGAATATATAATGATCTAAGATAATTCATACAATGAGGCGTTATTTTGCGAAAATCCATTATATTAAAGATGTCAAAAAAATCCTACCTAACATGATCCGCCGTTATACCTCAGGATGCCTCGTGTGGAGGCTAAACACGTGTCGTATTATCGACGTTGGTATGTCTTCCTAGTAGAGAGTTAGTAGTGGTGCTGCGATTAGTGGTGACGGAGATTGTGCACGCAATTGAAGGAGGGCAGGAGGTGCTCTTCAAACTAGGTAAGACACATCATTTTATTCGCTATTCTTAAACGGTAGTTTTTTTTTTTACATCTTTAATATGATCTTAATCAAAGAAAATTTAAAATCAAAAAAGTTCTTTAAATAGATTACAGAAACTTGAACTTTTAACTTACGCAGGGACAAAAAAAAAACGCTGGTTAACTTACCTAGGTTGGGCTGCAGCAATGCCTTTGGGTGGTGTATGAACTTCTGGAGTGTCACTGTCGTCCGTTAAGAGGGAATTGTCATCCGTCAATTGTGCTGTTTGTGGTACTGTGAATTTGTATTGGATATTTCAATTTCTATAAGTTCATACAGTATACAAGCATTTTACATCTTGTTTGTTTAATAAAAAAAATTTTTACACACATTATATACTGTATATTTTAAGGCATAATAATCAATTTTTATTTATATAATGAATGTTGGCAAGTTATCAAACATTTAAGAGTTTCTTCTTTACCTCATTAACAGATGGCGCTCTGTCATCAAAGTAGCAATAAGAAATCTACAAATAAAATGAAACTAAATCCCCCAGACTGTTAGGGCGCGTTCCGACGACACGCACCCGCTACGCGCACAACAGGCGTACGCCACGCGTTTCATCACCCGCGTCTAACTCGCTTTGAAATTCACACTCCACTAAAATTTTCTTATGTATCATGGAGGTCTACAGTCGTGGTAGCTCAGGGGCAAGCTCTTACTATAAATTTCACAGTACTCGAACAACCCCGTTTGAACCCTCCAGCTAGCACCAATGAAATTTTTAATTGCAATTTTAAATTGTTTTTTTATTTGTTAAATGCTGATTTGCCATGTTCAGTTAAAAGAAAATATTATGAGGAAACCGGCATGTTTGAGAAATTAAAATTGTCCGAGAAAAAAAAAGTTATGTGAAAGTTTACCAATATAAACTAAACTATAAGAGTTTGGCCGTGAAAGGAAAAGGGGAGATCTCCCACCGAGCAAGGTGTACTGCCCGGGGAGCGGACAACAAAACAAGAATTATGTCGGAGCTGTTCTGTATAGCGTGTTAACTTCAGAACTTTAATAGCGCGATTTAGGCTTCGTTGCGTTTTGTTTGCGGTGCAATGACAACGCCACCACATGAGAAATTAAAAATATATTTGAAATGAGGCATTTCATCTTAGTCCTCAGTGGTGGCAATGCATCTATATTTTGATTCTTAATCGAGGGTAAATGTAGATGTCTATGGACCATAGCATCCTTTTACCACCAAGTGGGCTGTGTGCTTGTTTGTCACATTAATTCTATAAAAAAGAATGTTTTTTTACGTCTTTCAAGTACAACAGTGGCGTCCATAGCTACGTTCTTCGGTTTGTCCAGCACCATAGTCTCGCGGTTGCAGGGCTCGATCACGACAGTTTCGTTCAGATTGCGCTGTGAATATATTAAATGTATATTATATTGTTCAATAATTCATTGCAGCCTATCGAGTCTAAAAATAGGCTGCCCTCATATACTGCCTCAAACAGGATATTTGCCATAGTTAACACATAATGGAGAGTGTAAGAGAATCCATTATCACGTATTGTCCCGTGGATGTAAAGTTGCCACTTTTTTTTAACGAATATTTTCCAAAAAAGGTGCAAAAATATTATAGTAATGTTGGGAAATTCAGGAAAAAAAGTACACGTTCATTTTTAATAATACACATTTTTCCATATACATATTTCTTTATGTTCTTCGTTTTGGTCGTCAATATTTAAAATAATCATAGATATCTGAGCAATTTAGATTAATATTAAAATAAATTACAATTCATTTTTAATTAATTCTTTCTTCTGTCCATTTTACATTAATGACGGAAAAATATTTTCGTAAAATTTACTTGTGCCAGACTTCCAGTCACAGTAAATATAATAAAGTGCGACAGTGGAATAAGGGGTAAAATATAGTATTTTTCGAAATATATTATTTTTCTATATATATTATTATATTGACTGAAATATCGTACGATACTATATATTATAGTAGAGTGGCAACCCTACACGGATGATGAATGTCGTAAGAAGCGACAGTACACAGTATGAAACCGCTTGCTCAACGTAACGAACCCTCGCTACAAATAGAGTTCCATGTCCAGCAGTCCACTTTTATTGGTCAATAAAAACATGATGAATTCTTCGACTACTGAATAACAAACCAATCAGAGCTGGGGGCCTCCTCTCTTTTCTGAGAGGGTTTTGGGGCAAGGAAGTGTCCGCCGCGCTACCCCAATGCGTGTTGGCGAACTTCACATGGCTTCGAAATTTGAGCCAAGCCACGGTAGCTCATGAGCTTTGCGCTCACTGTAAATTTCACAGTACGTGATGGAAGTGGCTCTGTGGCTCATAGACATCTACATCTATCCTCGTTTGCGAATCAAAATGCAGATGCGTTGTCACCTGTGAGGACTAAGATGGAATGCCTCGTTTCCAGTAAAAAGGATCTCCCATTCTCTACGCTCACCATACAAAACACAGCAGCATTAAGCTGCTATTTTACGCTGGTATTCTGTAAGAGCGTGATCCTTCCCCGGTGGAGCTGACCCATTCGTGTTACAACTATACAATTAATATCGCTGCAGCATGGCTCTACCATGCTTAAAAAATTAATATAATGATCTAAAAACATTTACTTGCCATTCATAATTTCAAAGTCGCAAAACATCTGGGACTGTGATAGGCAATCTAATCCAATTGCCATGCGTGGAGATTGCGAATCCTTCCTATAATGCTCTTCGATTATCTATCTGTCTATAGTAGTTCTAAGGAGAAAGAAACTCACCATATTCTTCGGAGTGAGGGATACATGATTGCACACTCCGTTCGGCAAAACAACAGTCTTATCAAGATCACTGTTTAATGTGACAGTTGCATTCAACTTTGGTGTCTCGAGACGCGACACGGGTAATACTCGTGTCGCGTCCAAAACGTCTTTAACATTCGTATCTTCCACACTTTGCCGATCTAATTTCGCCTTTGTTACTTCAACATTACAGTCCGGTTTGTAATTAGCTTTCTTTGATTTATCAGTTTTTTCATTAGGTAATTTCGTCGCTGTTGTCTTGGTAGTAAGATTGAGTTTTGTTTTGTTTTGAAGTATTGGTGATTTTAATTCTGGTTGAGATACTCTTTCTTCCTTTGGCGATGTAGTTTCTGGTTCTTTAGGTTGTGCATCATCCTTCTCGGCTTCTTTTTCACTGCAAAAGTTACATTTATAAATAATGTTTAATTATGATCACTTATGACCGTAATATGACGGTTTAGTGGCGGTGTAAGAATATTCCTCACTACCACATATAATCCCGATGTATCATCCCGGGTGTCGATAAAGGCGACAGAGGGACACAAATCAGAAGATGTGCCACAGCGTCTTCCTAACAACGACCAAAAATAAAAACTGCGGTAGCCAAGCACAAACTATGGCAAATATCCCCCGTATGAGGCAATCTATGGGGGAGGCCTATGTTCAGCAGTGGACTTTAATAGGCTGTAACGGTAACTTGGCTTTGAGATTTCAACGCCTTTATTATAATACAATACAATAACTTTATTTCAGGCATCAAGGACTTAAAAATTAAGAACATTGGCCCATAGCAATATATACCTTAACCTAAAAATATATATATAAAACATAGACATAACACTATTTAGAGAACTTTTTTCTTTGGCGCGTCCCTGTATCGGCGAAACACTACCCCAGAGGGCCAGAAATCGAGAGCGAGAAAAGTCTCTTTGTGTTTTGCAGGAACCTGGAGTACGTAAGATTTGAAGTTCGTTGACCTATTAGACTCCAGACGCTGCAAATGTAAAGGCATCGGATCCTTAATGCGGCATCGGCTTCGTTCTTCCACGAAACGCAGGACGTCTTCTCCCGACGTACTTTTGTCCAAACGGGAGATGTATGATGTGTCCACAGCACGCAGAGTTGTACTCGCGTTTATTTTCTTGGTCCCACGCTGGTTACAGACGGGTCTCGACCGACGTCTCTTCTCAACAAGAGTAAACCCGTCCTTATCAGTTTTGTCTTGGGTCACCACTGGAACTGATTTTATTTCCACGTTCTTTCGCTTTCGACCACAAGAGGGTGCCGGTTGTAAAGATTTTCGGGCAACATCCGCAAACGTCTTCCCTTGTTTTGAGGTTGGCTCCGGCGGAGGAGTACTAATGGGTTCAGTCAAGGGTTGAGGTGGTGATGCAATGACAACCGAGGTCGCCCTAGTTTCACAGTCATCAACCCGCTGACAGGCGGTATCGCATGACGGAGTCGCAATCATCGGTGAAATATGACTACTATTACGGTTACCGCGTGTCGTATTAACATTCTGCGACGGCGGTGAATTCGCAGATGTTGCAATTATGTTGCGCAACATATTGACTTCGTTCTTCAGCTCTGTTGCGGCTCGTTCCGATTCTTCAAATTTGGAACGGATGTCAGTAACATCGGCTTTCAACGCGGTGCTTTCAACAATCTGGTCACGTCTACGTGATCAAACGTCACGGGAGGCAGCTTGTTGAGATCACGTGCGACGAAAGTTGGGATGTCATCAGGGTCGGTCTCATTGAACAGCCTGAAGATGTCTTGCAGGTCTTTCTTACCGCGTACATCCCTGTGACGTGTGATGAGACGGATTTGGCTCACGGCTGAATCTGCTAACACCTTCTTCGCTTGGCTGATCTCGTCCTCGGTGAAGCTTGTCATCAGTATCTGCTCCAGAGACACCTGGTCCATGACGTCCAATTTTTGTTGAACAAAGGCCAGGAACTCGTGAACTACGACGGTTTCGGAGCGTTTAGGTTGACACGCCATTTCGAATTATTTTCGCGCAGTAGGTATGTTTACGCTTAGAAAATATTGTAGATTCGGCATTAGAGCCGTCACGTCATTAAGAATTAGCAAAATTGCGACTGATTATGTCACTGTGTATGAGTGTGTGATGCTAGTGAACATCTATGGAACATAGACATGGTTCTTCTCAGCTGGCGAGTATGAGCAAACTCCACATAGTATAAAACAAAGTCCATTCCTGCAGTCTGTACACTTACATCTTTTAAATTACGCAACGGATTTTGATGCGGTTTTCATCAATAGACAGAATGATTCAAGAGGCAGTTTTCAGTTTTTGTTTATATGTATAAAACATGCATATTATATTATATTATATTATTCATCTGTCTGTGTGAATGTGACTGAACTCCTCCTAAAAGAATGGACCTATTTTGATGAAATTGTGTGTTATTAAGTCGATTAGAGAATGGTTTAGATTTACAATTGGACGCGGTAGGTGGCGTTGTTGTCGAGATCCAGAAATCACCGTGCGTAGGCGGGGCGGATCGCTAGTTTTAGTGGTAATAGCATAGAGCATACTTCTTTAAGCGACAAGGATCATGTTCGACACATCGAAGATTATGACTGCAACAGTCCGCATTCTTGTTATAGAAGTAAGGGTGACAAAAAAACACAAGCCAACTAAAAGACCTTGCAGGTATCCTCGAAGACAGTTCACGTAATGGACCATGTACCGTCAATAAAGAATCAAAATACGAATGCATTGCTACCCCTGAGGATTAAGATGGAATGCCATGTTACCAATAAAACGGCTCTCCATTTCTTGTCACACAGGAAACAGCATATTACTGCTAGTTTACGCTCTGTTATACGGAACCGAAGATAGAACTTTAAAAAAAACCTATTTATTACGCAACACTTTGTATTACAGTGAAATTAAGAATTTAGATATAGTTAACTTAAAATAAAGAAGTAATTAAGAATTAGACTAACGATATAGTAATGATATGGAAACGACTCGCGACGATTGCACGAGGCTGAGAACGAGACTACGTCGTACGAGATACGTTCGTCGGAAGATCGGTTATATAGGATTTACGTTGCTGACGCAGCAGAATGAAAGAGTGTGTTAAAAAAAAAAAATGTGTTAACCGATCTCCTACAAGTCAAGGCACGTAAGTCTTGCGCTGATTAAAACGTGGAGGGGGCGCGCACGAATCGAATTGCACGAATGCGACTGCAGAGCCAATTAGCACGTGAGAACGATACGCACGAGCCAATCAGCGCGACTTATGCCCAATAACGGTCACCGCTAGACTTTCGTGTCGCTACTTATAACATTGATGGTGTATAACAGCTCGTATTCTGTGTGGGTGTAGTACTTTCCCAGTCGTACTGACGCATATATAACGTCAGAAAGAATTAAAATTTATTGCATACAGAGAAATAATGGTTTCTTGAACCTAGGATTTCAATGACAATATTATATATATATATATATATATACCTATATATATATATATATACCTATATATATATAATAGTATAACAGCACAAATCATGGGCACAATCTCTTTTAAGTGGCAGGGACAAGCTGCAACTATATGAGGGCTGCACAAAAAGTATCGGGAATGGAATATTTCCACTGTTCCTGTCATATTATTTTTTTTTTAATTGAAAAGTCCTTGGTTTTAAAACTCGAATATCATTTATTTATTTAAAAAAAGATTCTCGGTCTTGTCAAACTTGTTTAGTCGTTGCGAAAATGGAATTGACTCGAGAAAATTCAATAGCGATGATTTATTATGACTTTCGAAGTGGTTTAACACAAAAACAGTGTGTTGACCGGATGATTTCTGCATTTGGTGATGAAGCCCCATCCAAAACCACAATTTATCGCTGGTTTGCTGAATTTCAACGTGGACGTGTCAAGCTCAGTGATGATCCCCGTCAAGGTCGTCCAAAAACTGCAGTCACCCAAGAAAACGTTGATGCTGTGCGTAAGCTGATTGAGGAAGATCGACATGTGACATACCGCGAAATTCAGGCAACTTTAGACATTGGCATGAGTCAAATACAAATAATCTTGCATGAACAATTAGGTGTAAAAAAGTTGTTCTCCCGATGGATACCGCATTCGCTCTGTGAAGAGCAAAAGGCGGCTCGTGTTACTTGGTGCGTCAGAACTCTCGAAACATTCCACGCAGGAACCTCAAATGCTGTATACAACATCGTATCAGGTGACGAATCCTGGATATACGCGTACGAACCCGAAACAAAAAACCAGTCACGAGTTTGGGTGTTCGAAAATGAGTTAAAGCCAACAAAAATTGTTCATTCACGGAGTGTTGCGAAAAAAATGGTGGCCACGTTTGTCTCCAAAACCGGCCATGTTACGACTATTCCTCTTGAGGGACAAAGAACGGTTAATGCAGAATGGTATGCTAGCATTTGTTTGCCACTGGTCGTTTCTGAACTCCGTAAAGAGAACTGCAACCGCCGCATCATCCTCCATCACGACAATGCGAGTTCTCACACCGCACACAGAACAAAAGAGTTTTTAGAGCAAGAAAACATAGAAATGTTAGACCATCCGTCGTACAGCCCCGACCTAAGCCCTAATGATTTGTATACTTTCCCTAAAATAAAGAATAAATTGCTTGGACAGAGATTTTCATGACCTGAAGAAGCTGTGGACGCCTACAAAACGGCCATTTTGGAGACCCCAACTTCCGAATGGAATGGTTGCTTCAATGATTGGTTCCATCGTATGGAAAAATGTGTCAAATTTCGCAGAGAATACTTCGAAAAGCAATAAATACATTTTTAAATAGTAATGTTGTGTCACTTCCTTGATTCCCGAAATTTTCAGTGCCGCCCTCGTATTATGGTTGCAGCAATCGACAGCAGCAAGCAAAGCAATCGAACAGTGTGAGAGTCAAGTAATATCTTGACTCTCACACTAGCCGATTTTTATTTGGTCTAGTGCAAGGACATAGGATGGGTACGGTGAACATTACTCCACATGATTGGTTCATTGGGGGATTAACTTCCTCGAACTTTATGGGATGTTCACGTGTCAGTCGCTGAATGTATAATTAGTTGACGGCTCCGTGGCGCAGTGGCTTAGTATTGAGGTTCAGCACTGTAGGCCGGGGGTTCGAATCTCGCACGGAACAAGTACTTGTATGGCCTACAAATAGTTAATTCTGTGTCTGGATGTTTGTCCTTGAGCAATTTATGTTTGTAAACTGCCTCAACGATAGAGGAGAAAATCCTAGTGTAGGGGTAACATTAAAAAAAAACAACAAAAAGAAAGTATTTCTTGTAAGGGGCTTAATGTCCTTAATATAGGCTATTTTATAGTCTTGCAAGGAGAACGGAAGGTCACCCTCACTTGTGTTTTTACCTAATTTTATTGCAATTTCATGTAAGATTATTTTTCTGTATGTACTACAGTTACTGCAATTTAAATTTTAATAAATGGTAGTAACGTTTTTAAATAAAAAAGGGGTAACACAAAACAAAATAGTGGTTGAAAAATGTACATTCTCAAACTTGACTACAAATGATAATTTACTACAATTACTGGCTCAAGCAGTAATTAAAAAAAACTTACGCTGCTTTCTGAGCTCTTCTCGTCCTTTTCGGCCGTGGATTTTCGGTAGGAGATCCTTAAAAAAAAAATAGCAATGAAATTTCTGTCCTTAACAAAACTGATATTATCATATTAAAAATGTTATTACCAATTGCACTGTCTTGTGTACTTTGGGAGTGATTATCATTTTCAATACTGATTTCTGATATTATCTGAAAAAAAAGTCAATCAATCAAAATGAAATTTATTTATTTATTTAAAATCTTTATTACACTTAAGATGTACAATTGTCGGACTTAATGCCTTTAGGCATTCTCTATCAGTCAACCACAAGCTAAGCAGAGAAACTTAAGCAGGTGCCATAAAAATTTGAGAATATATACGTGAATGTAAATATAAACATATACATACTATACTTGTGAATACAAAAATAAATATATATAACTACAAAGAACCTAAATAATATATTCTATACCTGATACATAAACATACATAATTTTAAACGATAGATAATACATACATTTTAAGCATACTTACATACAAACATATTATACAAAAACAACTTAAGTAATTTGTAATACACTTATGCAGAAACATTTAAATAAAAAGGTCAGTTGTTGAAAGATCAGTCACCATTCTTTTAAAGGCTGTAATAGAAGTCGGTTTCCTGATATGAGGAGGTAATTTATTCCATAGCCTTATGGCCTCAGCGGTGAAAAACTGAGACATAAATTTAGTACGTCGAGGAAAAATACATAAAGTAGTTCCCTCGGAGGATCTCAGGTTACGATCGTGGGAAGAACCCAAATACTGAAACTTGCATTTCAGGTATTGGGGAATGCATGGATCATATAGGATTGAAAATAACGTGCAAAGAATTCTGATCCATCTCGCTGATGGACAGGGAGCCATTTAAGCTTAGAACGATATAAGGATACATGATCGTACTCGTATTTACGAAGGCCAAAAATAAAACAGATGCAATTATTTAACAAATGATCCAATTTGTACAAAGAAGTACTTGACACACATCAGGGTAACACACATCAGCATAATCAATGACCGGTAAAACAAGTGTTTGCACCAACATAGCCTTAGTCTCGGTTGGAAGGAAATTCTTGAAACAATAAAGGCCACACAGGGTGTTTGTCACTCTCTGACTTATTTCAGCTACCTAAGACTGCCAACTTAAATTAGGATCAATCATTAACCCAAGGTCTTTAACTACATATCTAAGAGGAATATTTGTGCTATTGTAAACAATAGGCTCCAGTGAATTGAAATCAAATTTAGCCAAATGACGAGGGCTACCGAGAATTATAGCTTTACATTTAGCAGGATTGACAGCCATTCCATAACTTGTGCATTAGTCACAGATGGCCTGAATATCTAGATTTAAAATTTCGATCGCAGAATTAACCTCTGCTGGATTAAACCGAGCGTACAGCTGTAAATCGTCAACATAGAGATGGTAGGAGCATTTGAAATTTACAGTTATGAGGTTTATAAAAATAGAAAATAATAAAGGAGAAAAAATTCCGCCTTGTGGAACGCCAGTAGCAAGATCAGACCAATCAGAGAAAGACTGTTGATTGACCTTAACTCTTTGCTGGCGACCAGGAAGATAAGTTGATAACTATCAAAAACTGACGAATAGAAACCATGTATTTACAGATAGCAAGAAGAATGTCATGATCGACTGTACAGAAAGCATTAGAGAGGTCAATTAATATGAGAACTGCTAATTTTGACTCCTCCATACCCTCACGTACGTCCTCAAGAACTTTAAGGAGAGCTGTGTTGTACTATGTCCGGGACGAAAACCAGATTGTAAGGGACTAAGAAGTTTATTTTTATATATGTAGCTGGGTAGCTGTTTGTGTGCAGCTGATTCTAAAATCTTTGAAAGGGAAGTATAGAAATTGGTCGAAAATGGTTAACAGAACTGGGATTATCTAACTTGTGAAGAGGAAGGACAAATGCTTTACGCCAAAAAGATGGAAAAACCCCAGCAGAAAAAGAAAAATTGATGATTACCCACCGTAATGATTGGGAGAATATTATCAAGTATGGGAATAATCTCACTCAAACAAACACTCAAATCATCATAGCCAGCTGCTTTATATTTGATGGAAAAAATATTTTTTTAATACAGTTGCTCAAAAAGTGGCGTATTGCATGGACGTATAGCGTTCGGGATGTGGGCTATTACATACTCGTGCTTTTTCTTTACCTTTTCCGAACTCGTGCGTTCTCTTTCCCAACTGTCAAAATAATGTCTATTAAAAAGAAAAAACCAACCACGAAGTTTTTACTAAAAAAAAAATCTAATAAGATTTTATGATTCATGCAAATATTTGTAAAAAGAAGCTACTAATTTGTTTCAATATCAGATTTAATGATTTGATTCAATGAGTTAGGTTAGGTTTCATTTAATTTCATCTCATTAAATTTAATTTTCATTTCATATCAATAATAAAATTCTACTGAAGACTTGGCTGTATGGGCATAGTTCCCTTTGCCTACCCAGAATGGGTGAAGCATGAAGCTAATACAAAGGGGAGACGGCATAAGCAACTGTGCACTGTGATTCTAAGTAGATCCTGACGTCATCATAGTGGGCGTGGCTTTAGTTAGTATACTGTCAGCATTCGTCCTGTGCGCTCATGTGTTGAAAAAATCGCAAATCGATGTATTTTCGTAGTATTAAGAAGAAAAGGATGAAGTGTTGTGTTTTATTGTGTAAAAACTACTCAGATAGACGCTCTGTTGTTATGGATGGCATCACATTTCATTTGTAAATAATTTTACACCTAATTTATTAAAATAGTTCTAGAAAAACCTCTTTGCGTTGGCTTTCAAATATAATTAAATATATTCGTCACTAGATGGCGACACTTTGTGTCATGTAAACTAAAAATATAAAGGTCCGTAGAGCTCAGTATTGGTAAAATAAACATACTAAGGTGCTGAAATTTGTTTTGCATTCAGATATAAAGTAATTATAATCGCAAAATATTATTTTTATAGTTTATAATCATTATGTGAACAGGCCGTATTCTATCGTCAAGTAAACCTCATAAAGATAACAAAAAGACAGTGCCGTAATTAGAATTCAACTATTTTATTCAGTAATCCAACTTTCAATATTAAAATGAAGGAAATTGTACTTAGGCTGATTTTCACGAAATGTTTAAGTTATATTTAAGTGACATTCTCTATGCAAAGAATCACTTAAATACAATTTAATGTTCTTAGATTGGCATTCAAAAATACATTCGGATGCCTAATTTGGAATAAAATATTTATATTTTAATTGATTTGTAAATAAAATTATATTAATTATAATAATTTGTCTATTATTTGTTTCTCCCTGAGAGATATTAAGTAGTATAACCCACAGATAAATAATAGTCCAGCCGTTTCTGCGTGAAAAAATTACACATACACAGTACATACTTAGTGTGGAATAAGCTACAGAAAGAACACACAAAATTTCGCCTTTATAATATTAGTGAGATAAATAGGATATTTAGTTCCAAATTAAATATCCTACTTAATATTGAACATAGAATATTTAGTTTCAAAGAGACTTTATTTTATGGATAAAATAAATATTTTTTGAAGGTTGACTTTCACGAAATGATAAACATATATAAATTGTATTTAAGTGATTCTTTGCATATAGAATGTCAGTTAAATATAACTTAAACATTTCGTAAAAATCAGCCAAGTACAATTTCCTTCATTTTAATATTGAATGTTGGGTTACTGGGTAAAATAATAGAATTCTAATTGCGGCCCTGTCTTTTTGTAATTTTTTATGAGGTTTACTTGACAATAGATGGCGGCCTGTTCCCAAAATTATTATGAAAATTATAAAAAAATATTATTTTGGCGAGTAAAATTTCTTTATCTGAATGTATTTGCTTCATGAGATAGACGCTCCGATGCTATGGATGGCATCACATTTCATTTGTAAGTAATTTTACACCCAATTAATTAAAATAGTTCTAGAAAAATCTCTTTGCGTCGGCTTTCAAATATAATTAAATATATTCCACACTAGATGGCGACACTTTGTGTCCTGTGAAGTAAAAATATAAAGGCACGTAGAGCTCAGTAATGATAAAATAATCATACGAAGGTGCTAAAATTTGTTTTGCATTCAGACATAAAGAAATTTTAATCGCCAAAATATTATTTTTTATTTTATAACATTTTGTGGATATGCCGCCATCTACCGTCAAGGTAGCTAAGCTACATTGCAACATTGATATGGAAAGATTCGAGTAGTTTTACTATTTATCGGTAGATGTAGATAGTGTAGTGGGCGGGGCTTTGCATCCCCTCACCCTGCAAATTGTCACGCGTTGTTTCATAGTGAAATTGAATTACAACGTCTCCTCTTTGTATTTGCTTCATGGGGTGAAGAAAACAAAAAAAATCTCTGCTTATATTCTTTTACGGTTGGCGCCATTTTCCTAAGACGTTCTTTATTAAATTGCTTCATTTTTTCGCAACTGTATTAAAAATAGTTGTTCAGTACACGTACGGAACCGTCATTGCAATTTGTTCTGACTTTCGGCTCGACTCGGAACTCTGCAATGACAGGCTTTCCGCACTCGTAATGAAATATACTATTACGAACATCTTCATTGGAAAAAAAAAGCAAAGCAGTTTGCATCGATTTTGGGAAAAGATGAGATAAGTGAAATGGTTTTATGTTTAGTGGAGTTGTCGATTATAGGTGCCAAGAAGTGCTTATTAAGATCGTTGAGAGATATTGCCCCCATATCAGGGCATTTCTTTTGTTTCCCTAACCCAAGGGAATTGAGAAACTTCCAAATGCCGACTGACGAAGAGCTTAAAATGTTCTTATGGATATGTCGGCGTTTTGCAGCTCGAACCATCTGATTGCATTTGTTTCTGGTAGCTTTATATATATTCCAGTTGGCATCACAGCGATTGTTTTTAAATCTTACAAAATCCCGATCACGTTTTGCCATTACTTTATGGATATCACTGTCCGTCCACGGTGCTGGGACTTTAACATTGCGTATCGGGGCTACTGCATCGTATAACTGAAGGATATTACTAGTCAGTGCCTCTACCATGTGATATACATCAGATGAATAAAAAATATCTAACCTAAATATGTTTTTAGGACTTAAAAATATTTTTTATAGAATAGGCTGACAATGGGTGGTGTTAGACAAGGCTGCGTGCTATCACCAACGCTGTTTATTTTGCATATCAATGAAATGTTGCAAGCTGGTAACATTCATTGCTATGCAGAGGACAGCACTGGTGATGCTTTATACACCGGCCGTGCCAATATTTCTCGGGAAAACGTCGCCGAGTACCGGAACAAATTTGTGTCTGAAGTCGAAACTTTACTGAACAAAGTCTCGGATTGGGGGCGACTAAATCTAGTCCAGTTCAATCCCCAGAAGACACAAGTTTGCGCGTCTCAGTTTCAATGAGCTGCTGCCTCAGCTAGCAACGGAATCCTCGGCGTCGACATATCGAATAGTGTGCAGTTTCGTGGTCACTTGGAAGAGAAGACCATATCGGCCTCTAAAAAGCTTGGCGTGCTCAGCAGAGCGGGGCAGTTTTCATGCCACCACATCGCTTGCAACTTTACAAAGTGCAAGTTCGATCAAATGGAATACCGTTCCCATCTCTGGGCTGAGGCTTCCCAGTGCCAGCTCCTTCCACTTCACCACATCCAGCGCAGAGCGGTTCGATTCGTCGACGACCGAGTTTTTTCTGATCGGCTCAATACACTGGCACTGCGTAGGGATGTTGCATCCATTAGCATTTTCTATCGAATCTACCACGGAGAGTGCTCTGAGGAATTGTTCGGATTAATTCCAGCCGCCAAATTTCACGAACGCACATCGTGTCAAAATTCACGATACCATCCTCACCATCTGGATGCTTGGCGGACCACGACTGTGCGTTTTAATAGAAGTTTTCGTACAACTTCTCTGTGGAATTGTTTACCACCGGCGATTTTTCCGGACCGATACGAATTAGGGACCTTCAAGAAAAGAGCTTACACCTTTATAAAAGGCCGGCAATACATCTGCAATTCCCTTGGTGTTGCGGTTGTTCATGGGCGTCGTTAGTCACTTACCCATCAGGTGAGCCCCCTCTTCTATAAAAAAAAAGAGATAAAAGGCACACAGTCCACCTGATGGTAAGTGGATGATGTGTCCCTTATACATCCATCCTCGACGGACTAAGATAGAATGCCTCACTTCTAGTAAAAAGGGTCTCCGGTTCTCTACACTCACCATACGAAACACAGCAGCATTAAGCTGCTATTTTACGCTGGCATTCTGTGAGAACGTGGTCCTGCCCCGGTCAAGCCGACCTATTCGTGTCGCAATCATAATATAACTGCAGCGTGGCTCTACGTATAATCTACTTGGCTGAGAAACATTGCATAAACTTTCAAAGTAAGCTAAAAATTATTATTATTTCATTTGAAAAAGGAAGAAAGAGAAGTAAATACTATTTTTGAATAAATTAATTTTTACTTGTGGCTCTAACAAAATACAGCACAAGAAAAGCCTATGTCTAAAATCATTTTAATTTTACAATTATAAGGGTTGCATGAGTGGGTCGGTTCGACCGGGGAACAACCACAATCTAACAGAATTTCAGCATAAAATAGCACTTTCAAGCTGCTGTTTCGATGGTGAGTGTAGAGAACCGGAGACCCCTTTTACTCGAAACGAGTTATTCCATCTTAGATTATTTAGAAATATTATACAGGGTTATTTTGCAATAACCGGCCAAATTTGCAGAGAAGGTTCAGAATGAGTAATATAGGCAAATGGTGAAGAAAAATTAATTAAAAAATTTGAAATATTCTGTCTTCTTTATCTTTTAAATTAAAAATGCACGCACACATTTGTAAGGGTCGATCGGTAAGCAAAAACATTGTTACCCATAAATCACATTCAATTTGGGATAATTTCAAATAAAAGTAGAAGCCTTATTTACTCGTATTTTCAAAAACTGCAATAATGGTATATCATTATTTATATATTTTAAGTTTAAAATTTGGTTACTCTTTGAAAAATAAACCTCGTATTCAATTAGCTTGCAGCTTAAATTTTTTTCAAAATAATGAAAAGAACAAAGTTTCGTGTAGATTATTGTTATAGAATTTGTAAATTTTATGAAGTTTTGTGTGTGATGGTCACGGAGGTGTACAACTTCCTCGTACCTTCTTGCCGCGTGTCCGTTTTGGCCTGGTTTCCTTGGGCACCTCTTCCTCTATTTCCAATTGCTTGCGCGAACTGGCGCGGGAACTCGCTCGAGTTGCTCGCGCTGATGCCACTAAAAAGAAAACCATACAGGTAAATCCATAGATTTAGAAAGAGAGGACTGAGCGTTAGCCTCACAAGTGACCATTCGTTAGAAACAGACAAAGCGACTGTGCGGCCAATACCTGTCTCTTTCCTGCAAGCCGAAGGCTACCAGTAACGTGGACCAATCAGAATTCTAGAAAGAGACAACTACTGGCCGCACATTCGCTTTCTCTCTCTCTCGCACTTTTCGGTCTGTATTCACTGCTGTGTATTCACTGCATAATTGAATACATTCTCTCTATGTCTATGGGTAAATCCAATAAATCCATTCATTACAGCCTATAAAAGTCCACTGCACATGAATGCTTGCGTACCGTGAGATTTACGGTGAGTGCTTAGCCGCCACTAAAGATAGACATTACACTAGAATACATATTGAACAATATTCTCACCAGGCGGTGCAGGCGCCGTATCCGTTTGTTTCCTTGTCCTGGTGGCCCGCCGTTTTCCTGTTTCCTCTTCTGATAGTTCTTCCGATTTTTCTTTAGGAATTGCTTTTCTTGGCTCTAGAAATAATATTAGTTTTATTACATAACAGGATTAGAATTAGATTTTGTATAGAGAATAATTACAAAATTCTTCTTTCTTCTTTCGAAGCTTCCTTCCTATGGGCTTACCGAGAAATTATGCAAATGGATCACCAGTTTCCTTGCTGATCGGAGCATCAAGGTCGTAGTAGACGGTGCATGCTCTGATTTCAAGCCTATCAACGCTGGTCTTCCACAAGGCTGCGTGCTATCACCAACGCCGTTTCTCCTGCATATCAATGATATGTTGCTAACTGGTAGCATTCATTGCTATGCAGACGACAACACTGGTGATGCCTTATATACCGGCCGTGCCAATATTTCAAACTTGTGTCTGAAGTCGAGTCTTTGCTTAACAAAGTCTCGGATTGGGGCCGACTAAATCTAGTCCAGTTCAATCCCCAGAAGACACAAATTTGCGCGTTTACCGCTAAAAAGAACGCCTTTGTCGTATCTCCTCAGTTTCAAGGCACTCCCCTTCTTGCCTCAGCCAGTATCGGTATCCTCGGAGTCGACATATCGAGTGACGTGCAGTTTCGTGGTCACTTGGAAGGGAAGGCCAAATTGGCCTCTAAAAAGCTTGGCATGCTCAGCAGAGCGGGACAGTATTTCATGCCGGCACACCGCCTGCTACTTTACAAGGCGCAAGTTCGGCCTCACATGGAATACTGTTCCCATCTCTGGGCAGGGGCTCCCCAGTGCCAGCTCTTTCCACTTGACCGCATCCAGCGCAGGGCGGTTCGAATCGTCGACGACCGAGGTCTTTCTGATCGGCTCAATACACTGGCACTGCGTAGAGATGTTGCATCTCTTTGCGTATCTTATCGCATCTATCACGGGGAGTGGTCTGAGGAATTGTTCGGACTAATTCCAGCCGCTCAATTTCATCATCGCACATTGCGAAAAAACTCGCGTTACCATCCATACCATCTGGATGATTGGCGGTCCACCACTGTGCGATTTAGAAGAAGTTTTCTCCCTCGCACAACTTCCTTGTGGAATCAACTACTACCAGCGAATTTACCGGACCGATACGACTTAGGAACCTTTAAGAAAAGAGCTTACACCTTTCTAAAAGGCCGGCAACGCATCTGCAATTCCCCTGGTGTTGCGGTGGTTCATGGGCGGCGGTAGTCACTTACCATCAGGTGAGCCCCTATTCTATATAAAAAAAAACTGTTTTCCTGAAACTTTTCTGCTCTAAATATTTCTTAACTCAAACAATTTTCTCCGGAAGTCAATAATAATCTCTAGATAGTATAAAACAAATTCGCTTCCCCCGTCTGTACGCTTAGATCTTTTAAACTACACAACGGATTTTGATGCGGTATTCATCAATAGACAGAATGATTTAACAGATTTATATGTATAAAACATTCATATTATAGTAGAGTAATAGCGAGAAAACACAAATCTATTGTTGTCTGTTAGTCTCGCTAAAACTAAAAAACGGCTCGACTGATTTTGATGATTTTTTGTGTGTATTTGAATGCGTCTCTTGATGGTATAGATTCACTTTTGAACCCGGTAGGTGGCGCTGTTATCAAAATCACCATTCACCCGTGAGAAGCCGGGGCGGATCGGTAGTAATATTAATAAATTATTTATTATCAGATAACAAAAATATGTTATTTTATCTGCACTTACAAATATAATTATATAAAAATGTTCAACCCTTAGGCTGTAAGGGTAAGGTAGGTGGTTAGGGTGTTAGATTATCGTGAACCACCACAAGATGGCAGAATTAAATAAATTAATATAATGATAATAACATAAAAAACGTTAGATAGAATTTTTCCTCATCATTCTAGTGAAAGTGACACATGTTGCTTGACCTGAATGGTAAGCAACACATTCTGAGACCCAAGCCTCACATAGTTCTTACATACAGGGTTATTTTGCAATATACGCCCAAATTTGCAGAGAAGATTCAGAATAAGTAATATAGGTAAATGGTGACGAAAAATGAATTTAAAAATGTCAGATATTCTGTAATTTTATCTTTTAAATTCAGAATGCGTGGTAATCCATTATTTTAACTTATTGTCATTCATAAATATCCCACGCCTACTATTTTACTACGTACTTCCACATTCGTAAGGGTCCATCGATAGGCAAAAACGTTATTGTCCATAAATCATATTAAATTTCGGTTAATTTCAAATAAAAGTAGAAGCCTTATTTACTCGTATTTTCAAAAACTGCAATAACGGTAATATCATTATTCGTATCATCATCATCATCACTACAGCCCTCCACAATTCCACTGCTAAAAATAGGCCTCCCCAAGGAATGCCACAAAGCACGGTCCCGAGCCACCTGCATCCATCGACTTCCTGTATGTCCTACCATGTCGTCACTCCATCTGTGTGGGGACGCCCTACACTTTTAGCCTGCTGGTACGAGGCCGCCACTAGAGAACCGTTCTTCTCCATCGGTTATCGGTTCTTCGAGCTATATGGCCGGCCCATTGCCACTTCGGCTTACAAATCCTTTGCTAATAATGCTTAGTAATAAAAATAAAATAAGTAATAATGCTCAGTAAGCATTATTTGTATATTTCAACTTAAATATAAAATTTGAATACTCTTTGAAAAATAACCATGTATAGTGGGTAAAGTTATGAAACCTTCTAAAATAGTACTTTTGTGTAGAAAGCAAAAAAAAATAGTTTTAATTTATAACAATTGACATCTAATACAAGAAATATAAAATTAGGAATCCTTAATAAGTATATTATGATAACAATTATTTTACTTGGTACAGGTGCAGTCGGAGGCGGCATAGCAATTTCATCCTCATTCATTTCCTGTTTGATTTCAATGTTGATTGGCAAGGACTCCAGGTCCATTGGCTCGGATGGCAATGATACTTTCTCTTGTTTCACTGAAAATAAAAATGTATGTTGTAAACCAACTGCTGCCCAACAAAGGGCTTTTATTGTAAATATAATAATAACAATAATATAGTTTATTTTGTTCTAAATATAAATATAAATTAACATAATAAACACAAACTAATTTAGAAACTAAAATGGCGTCTACTCAGCACAAATTAATGTCGTAGAATAAACATATATAGACACAGTATACTTCATAAGAAAGGTGTGACACATTGACACAGAATTCTATTAATTTTAGTTTTATTTACTACCGACTTCAAAAAGGAGGAGGTACTCAATACGACTTTATGTTTTTTATGCGTGTTATCGCAAACTTTTTTTCTAGGTGAACCGATTTTGTTGATTCTTTTTAAAGCTGGTGCTTCTCATGATGTGGTCCCATATAAATATGATGAAGGTTTGACCAATAGTTTTTGAGTTATCCTAAATTATTTATATTGAAGTCGGTTGTACAATATTTTTAATTTTACCACTTGTATAATATACAGACAATATACTTCATAAGAAAGGTGTGATATATCGATATAGAATTCTGGTAATATTGATAATTTAATAGGTATTCCTTTAGTTTAATTTTAAGCTAGCTGTTTCTCGCGACTTCGCACTCGTGGAATTTATCACGATTGGATTACATGGGTTTTAGGTTTTTGCGCGTAACCCTAATTCTTTTTCTAAAATAAAAGTAGCCTTATAACATCAGCTATCTGTCTGTGAAAATCCCGTCAATATCGGTCCAGCCGTTTCGAAGATTAGCCGGAACAAACAGACAAAAATTTTAAAAATTGTTTTTTTGGTTACAAGTACCGTATATACTTTCATATGCATTTAGTAAAAAGCTGTTATTTTTCAATTTTATTTATTTGTATAGATGTATAGAAGTACGAACATGTCTCATGTCCTGCATAAATATTTCGAAGACACATTAAGTAAGCGCTAACGCATGCTGAAGTGTGGTGGACTAATTGCTGAACTCTTTCAGAATTGAGAGGAGGCCTGTGTCCAGCAGTGGGACGTATATAGGTTGTAACTTTACTACAAGATACGTAGTAGAGGCATTCTGCAGCTATATGGTTGTAGCACGAATGGGTCGGCTCGACCGGGGAAGGACCACGCTCTCACTGAATACCAACGTAAAATAGCAGCTTGATGCTGCTGTTTCGTATGGTGAAAGTATAGAACCCTTAATTACTGGAAACGAGGAATTCCATCTTAAGAATCAAAATCATTTCGAGGATAAATGTAGATGTCAATGCGCCACAGCATACACTCACCATCAGGTCGGCTGTTAGTTTGTCACTCTTATTCTATAAAAAAAATATAATGTTAAATGAACTATTTTTACGGATTTTATCGCGTTTTATTTTAACTTTTTAATTCTCGACGTTTCGGGTGCTTTACAGGACACATGGTCACGGGAGAACTGAGGTGTTTGACGACGCGATGTCATGGTTAGCGCAGCTACCTTCAGCCTTTGAATACTAAGTTTTGGTCCGATCTACGCAGAGCAAAGTCTTGCAGTGGTATGCTTGGGTATGGATTCAATTTTATTAATTACGGGATCCAAGCAGATGGTAGCACCCATCCATCTTCTCTATTGGATGGGTGCTACCATCTGCATGAGTCTCGCTGTGACCATGGGCTGTAAAGCAACCAAAACGTCGGGAATTAAAAAGTTAATATTAAAAGTGATAAAATCCGTCAAATTCGTTTCATTTGGATATTTTATCACATGGATATTTTCTAATCACGCAGATGCATCGCACCCTAGACATGAATAAATTACTTTTGGTGTTTCGCACAAATTAGATATTCATCACGCGTTCATCTTCGTAGGATGTTCATGAATGTCACAAACTACACGCATTGTATGTAGCCATTTGCAATTTATTCTGTGTCATTTGCTTGTCGCATAGCTAAGTCCGCGAGGCCGTAATGCAAAGTTGACGGTAAAGGGTGGGGTCAGAGTGTACGCTTTCTAGGTATTATGTTAACTATAATTTTTTATTTATGAACTAGCTGTTCCCCGCGACTTCGCTCGCGTGTTAGGGTTTTTATGTTTTTGCGCGGAACCCTAATTCTTTTTCTAAAATATAAATAGCCTAAGTTACTCCTTATAACATCAGCTATTTGCCAGTGAAAGTCCTGTCGAAATCGGTCCAGCCGTTTCGGAGATTAGCTGGAACAAACAGACAGACAGACAGACAGACGGACAGACAGACAAAAATTTTAAAAATTGTGTTTTTGTCATAAGTACCGTATATACTTTCATATGCATTTAGTAAAAAGCTGGTATTTTGACATTACAAACAGACACTTCAATTTTATTTATTTGTATAGATATAGATAATCTATACAAATAAATAAAATTGAAGTGTCTGTTTGTAATGTCGAAATTACAGCTTTTTACTAAATACATATGACAGTATATACGGTACTAATAACAAAAATACAATTTTTAAAGTTTTTGTCTGTCTGTCTGTTTGTTTGTTTGTTCCGGCTAATCTCAGACACGGCTGGACCGATTTTGCTGATGTCACAAGGAGTAAACTTAGGCTACTTTTATTTTAGAAAAATAAATAGGGTTCTGCGAAAAAAAATTAAAACCCCAAGTAACACGCGGGCGAAGTCGCGGCGAACAGCTAGTTTTAAAATATTATTAATGTTTTATGTAATATAGAAAATGAGGGTTTCATAAATAATATTTTATTAAAAAATAAAGGTTAACTATCACAGTGGTTTAAACTATTCATACATTAAGTAACAGCGACGTATAGGTGTACTCTTAATGGGATTTTAGCGTTTCTAATCAAGTAACTAACTAAACTTAATATTTCTAAAAATGTTATTTGCATCTGTAATTTGACACGTGCTGACATCACCCTACGGTCTCTGTGAGGTCTCTCACACGACCGATACAACATTTTTTCAAAGAGAGCTTTTGTGCTTCGTGCTATCACTAACGCTGTTTCTTCTGCATATCAATGATATTTTGCAAACTGGTAATATTCATTGCTATGCAGACAACAGCACTGGAGATGCTTTAGACACCGGCCGTGCCAATATTTCTTGGGAAAACGTCGCCGAGTACCGGAACAAATTTGTGTCTGAAGTCGAGACTTTGTTCAACAAAGTCTTGAGTTCACGACTTTGGGAGCGACTAAATCTAGTCCAGTTCAATCCCCAGAAGACACAAGTTTACGCGTTTACCGTTAAAAAAAACCACTTTGTCTGTCGTATCTTCTCAGTTTCAAGGCACTCCCCTTGTTGCCTCAGCCAGTATCGGAATCCTCGGTGTCAACATATCGAGTTATGTGTAGTTTCGTTAACGATTTTTTTTTTCAAAAATCAAGATTTTTTATTAATATCATGCGGTGAAAGACTCATCTATTAACTGATTGAGATTTTTTGTGGTGTCTTTCAATGAAGTCAGTTCTTTAATATTTTTAAAACCGTAACTGCCTATTTGCGCGTTTCTTAAGGACCGGCCTCTTAAGGCGCAGGTTGAGCAAAATGTCGCGCTAGTCGTTATTTGGGCGGTTTTTAGGAGCTATCTACTTTTTATTTAAAAGATATATCAACAAATAAAAAACACATTATATTTCTACATAATCTTGATTCCATAAAAGCTATATCCAATTTTTTTTTAAAGGAATACATATTAATATAATCTCCTTACAACGAAACCACGTAAATGTGAAATTATTATTGATAACATGCATCTCCTCGTAAAGTAAGTATTATTTTGTTTTGCGATTTACACCAATGGATAGGCAATTTATTAATGAACATTTCTATAGTAAATTTTTTTCCAAAAGACCAAAATTTGATTTTATTAAGAAATTATTTTAAAATCTGGGCGTATATACTGCTCACGGGCTTGATGAAGTCAGTGAGCGCTGAGCTCTTCGACGGGAAGCCCGTGTCGTTAGAGCGTCGACCGACGCATACGCCACGTCATATGAGTCGATAATATTATTACTTATTAGGTTATTTATAGGTAGTATTATTTGTTTGTTTTGGGTATAATTTTTCGTATTAGTTATACATATATTTGTTGTGTTTTTTACTGCGCGATGAAGATTTTTGCGTGTATTTTCTTTGAAGTAAATGCAAATAAAAAAATGAAGCACCATTAGCATGTAAGGTTCGAATCCATAATTAAAATTTCGACAAATATTATAATTTACACTATAAAAGGCTAATTCAATATTATCACCCAAGCACAATATCTTATCAGGTATACTACTGCCTCGTTGGTCTAGTGGTTGTAGTGGTGCGACTGCTGATCATGAGGTCCCGGGTTCGAATCCTGGGTTGGGCCAAAAAGTCAGTTATGAGTTTTTCATTTATGTTCTAAGTTATAATTATAATTAGTATTACTAAGTTATAGTTTTTTGCTAAAATATAGTATATTATTTATTGCTTGTTTTTTCTTCTTTTTCAAAAAATAATTGAGTACATAAGGTGTTCTATACTTATATCTCGGTAAAAAGTACTAATATACCTACTTTTTACTATAAACTAAAAAATTTTAAAACTAAATTTAACTAAAAAGACTAAGCTGACCATTTATTTTTTAACTCATAACAGGACATGGGTTTATTTATACTCTAAAAACTATAACTTTATACAATTAGTGTTCACTATAAAATTATATTCGGTATAGACGGTAAATATTAAATGCAACATATTTTTTTTAATTATTAATTACATTTGTCAGTGGATTAAATTTGCTTTAATAAAGTTGGTGATGATTTTAAATAAGAATAAAATTCTGCTCAAGTTTTTTATTGTTATCTTTGTTAACAACATCGCCTTTAGAACTCTGGAACCGTAAGTGTTTCTTTCAGACGTCCACAATTTATGCAAAATAAAAAAATACTCTTTCTACCGGAGCATTCGTACCAGGTAGACATAAAATATATTCGATTAAAAAAAATTATGTTGAAGATTGTTGACTTTGAATACTTCCATCCAACGAGTT